ATTATAGAACCTTATAGTACCCTTAAGGGATACCTTGTTTCTTGCTTCTTCCGCCATGAGGCGACGAGGCTGGTCCGCCGAACAGTGCCCGGGGCAAGCGGCCTCCAGGTGGGATGGGTGTTTGTACCATGGTGGCGGCTCGCTGTTGCCAGTACTACTAGCCGTGGTCGTGGTGGTGGTAACGGTGGTGGTGGTGGTGGTGCTGGTGGTGCGGGGTCCTCATCGTTCTCATCTGTCTGTCGTAGTTTCACCTTCAGAAGACCCGTCATTCATTCTACTCAACCATGAGCTAATCTAGCTAATCCTCATGCATACAACCACGCGGCTTTTCCATCAGCAAGCAAAAGCAGTGTCAATGGAGTGTTCGTGTTGCCAATTGAAGACATGTGTATGTCCGCCCAACAATATCTGAGACGTGCAGACCTTCTCGAACTGCTGAGCACAATCGCTTGACTCCGCGACGTCGTCTACGGCAGACGCAACAAGTCTCGCGTGCACGCCTGTGATTTCATTTGGCAGCAGAAGCAGCACGATAAGCTTGTGGACGACATCAAAGTCCTGAAGCCCTTAACCCTAAACCCTAAACTGGCCCTAAACCCCTAAACCCTAAACCCCAAACCCTAAACCTTAAACCCTAAACCCCAAACCCTAAACCTTAAACCCTAAACCCCAAACCCTAAACCCTAAACCCTAGCCTTAAACCCGAAAACCCCCTGACCCAGAAGCCCAAAGCCTCCAAAGCCCTCAGGCCGGAAGGCTCTGAAGCAGTAGAGCCCCAAATCCTCAGCCCGAAACTTCACCCAGAGCCATGGTTTAGGGTTTAGGTTTTAAGGTTTAAGGTTTAGGGTGGAGGGTTTAGGGTTTTAGGGTTGAGGGTTTAGGGTTATTTAAGGTTTAGGGTCTGGGGCTTAGGGGTTTAGGGGTTAGGGTTTGGGGAGTAGGGCTATGAATGCCCCGTACAGTGCCGTTATAACCATCGTTAAAGGTTCATTACATCCTAAACCCGACTTTGAACTACCATAACCTACTTTTTTGTAGGTCCTTATTATAAGCCCTCATATAGAATTTATAGGGACCCTACAAAAAAGTAGGTTTTTGGTAGCTTAAGGGAAGGTTCCCTAAACCCTAAACCCTAAACCCTAAACCTTAAACCCTAAACCCTAAACCCTAAACCTCTCTACCGAGTTGCGAGGCGAGGAAGGACACTCCAGGGCTTCCAGCAAAACCTCCACCAACGGAGGCGGCGGGGTTTAGGGTTTAGGGTTTAGGGTTTTTCGGGGTTCGGGTTTTAGGATCTAGGATTTCGGGCTGCAAGATGCTAGGGTGTAAGGCTTTATGGTTTTGCGGTTTTCGGGTTTTAGACCGGTTTAGGGCTTTACGGGTTTTAGGTGTTCAGTTTCCTACGGGGATTGAGAGGATTTCAGTATAGGGCTCATGCTGTTTACCGTAGTGGGCTGTAGGGTAGAAGGGGCGGGAGGTGTGATGGGCCTGGTCGGTGGGCCACAGCAACATCGCGAACGAAGCTGTTTGGATTGAAGTGTTCTGGCCGATGTTGCAAAGACGGTTTCGGGTTAGGCTCGAGGAGGGGTTCTTCTAACCCGAAGCCCGGACTTCATTAACATAAGTTCTGTCGTGTCCATGCTGATAGCCCTTTCGCTTGAGGCGACAGAACAGAAATCTCAGGTATGCACCAGGGGTCGCTTATGTTGCGATATCCACATCCCCCTCTCTTTGGCAGCACCCGAACCCTTCGACGCATTGCTTTGAAGATGGCTTCTTGCCAAAGCTCGGGTGTCTGAAGCCTTACAGCAACATCGAAACGCCCTTTCACCAGGTTTACAGGGTTTAGGCGCGACTGCACACTAAAGCATGGGGTCAGCGGATTGCGGTTGGAGCAGCATTGCTGGTCGCAACTGTCTCAGCAGTGATTGCGAAGCTAGAATGGTAACGAGACGAAGATAAAGAGCATACAGGTTCGAAGCGACTACAGTAGCAGTGCCTGTTTAATATTTAGGTAATTCGTCGGGCCCTTAGTCCTTTGCTTTCAGGGTTTAGTCTTTAGACTTGGAGGGTTTGTGGATGTGGTATGGTAAGTAAACAGGTAGAGATATGTCTAGGATGCTACGTGGGCTTCATTCATTCTAAATGTGACCGGCTACCCTACGCATGGTCCCAGCCAGTCCCTGCATCTGGGTGGTACAGGGTGAGGACCATTGACTAGGATTTTTCCGGAGAGCCACAGCCTGATCTAAGAGAGTTCCAACAAGCTTTGTTTGCGCCCCATCTGGTTAACCCTAAACCCTATAAACCCTCTATGAACCCTCTATAAACCCTCTATAAACCCTAAACCCTAACAGCCCTAAGCCCAACCCTAAACCCAACCCTAAACCCTATAAGCCCAAAACCCTATAAGTCATACACCCAACCCTAAAGCCTCATCCCAAAACCCCTCAACTCCGAGGTTTCAGGGCTGTTTCAGACTTTGAGAGGTGTGCCCCGGCTAACTGTGCCGCCGCGACCGCTGCTTGGCGCTAAACCCTAAACCCTAAACCGGGTTTAGGGTTTAGGGGTTCAGGTTTTGAGGGTTTAGGGTTTGAGGGTCTAGGGGTTTAGGGGTTTAGGGTTTGAGGCTTTAGGCTTTGAGGGTTTAGGGGTTTAGGAGTTTGAGGGTTTAGGGATTGAGGGGTTAGGGGTGTAAGGGTTTAGGGTTTGAGGCTTTAGGGTTTGAGGGTCTAGGGGTTTAGGGGTTTAGGAGTTTGAGGGTTTAGGGATTGAGGGGTTAGGGGTGTAAGGGTTTAGGGTTTGAGGCTTTAGGGTTTGAGGGTTTAGGGCTTTAGGGTTTGAGGCTTTAGGGTTTGAGGGTTTAGGGGTTTAGGAGTTTGAGGGTTTAGGGATTGAGGGTGGTTTATAATAGGCCCTAGAGCCCTAAGGCCCGAAAAGCTCTGAAGCCTTAAAGGCCCTTATATAAGCCTTGAGCCATCCTGGACCCTCTTTTGTAATTCACCCTGGAGGCGCAAAGCCTTGGAGCTTCAGCCAAACCCGAAGGATTTACCCTAAGCTCCCACTCTTTCGTCTCTGGTGTGGGATCTTATGGTTTGGGGTTTAGGGCTTTAGTGTAGTTTCCCACTTTGGGTTCGAGTTCGGGGTTACAAGGGTTTCAAGGCTTCCTTCAACTGGCAGAAGCTAATGTAGGAGCCTAAATAATTACCTCTACTATTTCGGGGGTTTCCTTATTATAACTATAGTATAATGCGCCCCCAAAACCAGGTTCCGCGCCCGCCGCCGGAAGCAAAGCGCGCGTGGGCCGACATGACGGACGCGGTGTCGGCTCTTGACCGTGTCGGCCTGTCTCTCTGCGACGGGATCCTACAGGTTCCTTGTGCGAAAGCCCCCGGTACGGTGACCGAGCTCGCGATCATGTCCTGGGCCTTCAAGGGCATGGCCGGATGGGAGAGTATTCTCTCCTTCGCAGACTTGCTGAATGAAGGGATGCCGCGGGTGACGGATGAGCGTGAGTCTGAGTCCGCCGAGGAGACCCGGGAGCGCGAGATGCAGCTTCAGGCTCAGAAGGCCACTATGAATCTCGGGTACTCCGGAGCTTAAGACTTCTGCGACCGCATGACGGCGGAGCCGAGCTTGCTGCAGGGTGTCGGATGCTCTGTGCCGCGCTAGACAGGCTGGGCCCCAGGGCCAAAACTCCAATTTAAGCCCACTAAACCCTAAGCCCGAAAGTCCTAAACCCGGAATTCAGGGGGCCAGCTTCATACCTGCTGAGTATCACTGTGTGCCGAGCTGGCAGACCACAGAATAGAGGTACGAACAACGACCGTGTGAGTTTTTTATTGCCACATTAACCCCAACGTACTGTAATTATAGTCTAAAGTTCTAAAGTACCCCTTGCCCTTGTATTTACAACCACTTAAGCAGCGAAGCCTAAAAGCCCACACCCTGAACCCCAAGCCTTCAACCTAAAACCCTGTAAGTCCAAGCATCGAATGCTCTGAACTTGTCTAAGGGTGGTTCCGTCCTTGGCAGTTCCACCGCCAGCGTCGGTGGAGGCCGAACTCAGACACCCGACGGGTTGTAGTCCGTAGCTACTCCAGGGTAGCAGGTTCTCCATCACCTCCTTCAAGGTCTTGTATCCGGACTAGTACTAGTACGTACAAGCCGAGGACCACGAGAAAGCTATCGACGACGGGGGCCAGGAGAAATAACATCAACTACACCCTGAACCCTAAACCCTATAACCCCTTTTCTTGTAGCTGGCACAGGCCCCGGCTACACCGGTACAAGTGCCGGATGAGATTGCCTCCAGCTTGCGCCAGCAGCTCAAGGAGCGGAAGGGCTCTGGCTTTCGTAGCCCGCAGAAAGCTGAAGGCCCCCCAAACCCTCAAAGCTTAAGGCTCCCTAAAAGGCTCCCCTTAGCCCCAAAAAGTTTAAGGCTTCCTAAACCCTAAACCCTCAACCCTAAACCCTAAATGGTGGTTTAAATGTCCGGGCTTCCCTGCAAGAGCCAAATCTGCAAGCGAGGAGAAGGAAGACGTCGAGGCGGCCTACCGAGCAAAAATCGACGCTCTCAAAAGAGAGCTACAGGACGGGCTGGGCTTATACAGGGGCCTTAATAATTAGAATAGGGTTTTGGGGCTCATTCTTCTATAAAGTTTAAGCAGAAGCTTGTGACGTTCGCCCAACACTGGTCTCGTTAGTCATTGTGTTCGTTTCAGGTGGATGCCCACCATCACCCTTGACATGACTCTCATGCCTCGCCCCGTGATTCGCAGTAATATGAGTTTGGGCAGCATGTTGTCGTTAATCTTGTGAATATCACTGAGGCCTTTCTGTTTGGGCAATGACTGTATGATGAGCGCGACCTGGTAAGTCGGTTATACACGGCGGGATTTAAAGTATCCTAAGTGGGAGGTTTCAGAAGGAGAAAAGCCCGAACCGATCCTCAGATCTCCAACTCGAAACCTTCAACCCGCAGGAACCCCGAACTCACAGTCAGCCGTGTACCTAGCAAGCCGCGACCATCTTCCAAACCCAACTATCGCCGAGCAAAGGTTACCAAGCCACTTCGTGGGACCTCTAACCTCCGTTGCATGGACTAAACCAACCCTAGGAATAGAGGCCCACAGCACACAACTATTGGTAGAGCAATGGAGACTGAAGCCAACATGAGGCCTTGCACTGGAGACCGCAGGTAAGGCCCGCGTATTAGCAAGGAGCTCCAACGGCGGCATGGGCCACTCAGGGAGCTCCTGGGCGGTGCCGAGCGCTCAACAAAAACGAGAGGGGGGCGGGGCGGGGGGGGGGGTGGGGGCTGGCAGTGCTTGTTGGCACTGTGAAACCATGTGAAACCTAAGGGCGGCTTAGAGCATAATTATGGTTTGGGATTCCAAAGTCAAGAGTCAGGGTCTTAGGCTTCTCATCCAAAACGTGGTTTCAGGGTGCTTTTGCCTCACAGCCTTTAGAGTTGGCGTTTAAAGCTTGGGGTTTACACTTTTCGGGAGTTGAAAAGGAGCTTATGACGGCTGCATGAGTTCGAAAAGGGGTCTCTTTGTCTTGTAACTAGAGGGTTCAGGGATTTGAGCTTTGGGGTTGAGGATTTACTGGGCGATTGAGTCTTCATCGTTTAGGGCTTAAGAGATTGCAAGACCAACCTAAAACCTAGATGTTACATGTTCATGACCTGATCTTGTAGGATGCAATGTTCAAATCTTAAGCCTCTACCAAAAGTCTGCAGTGTAGTTCGTTTTCCTAGTGAAAACATTTCATGGTTAGATTGTATCTGATGAGATTACTAAAACTGCTACACCAAGAAAGAAACTACACCTGAGACTATACCCTCAACCCTTGAAAACCCCGGGACTCTTAGGAGACTATTTTATGCGTCTGTCGAGCGGGACGAGGCCCCCCCAAAAAAAAACTTGGTGTAGGTGGAAACATTGGCATATAGGGTTTAGGGTGCCTGCGGACTGGGTCGGGGCTGTGGCTGTACAGAAAAGTCCCGTCTTACTGTCGAAATCCCGTCCTCGACGCTGTGCTCGGCGCTTAGCCTGTGGGAGCCTTGCCAAGACGGACGAACCTTTCCTGCTGCTGTGAATCGTCCGTCGCCTGTGGCAGGAGGAGCGCTTTGCGCCACATGTCCCAAGGACAAACCCTAGGCCCTAAGCCTAAGCCCTACACCCTAAACCC